GTTTGCCTTCTTTGTTTTGGAGAAAGGAGGAGCAGAGACGATGTTACTACTGTCCAAACATGTCTTTTTGGTTTATGAATAATAGGAATCAGAGTGCAAAAAAAGTCTGATCTAATATTTTATTGGAACCATATTTATTTTCGGTTCGGGAATTGTATTCAAATATTTCACTAATTTGCAAGAAGAACAACTTTTGGTTGTTTTTTGGCTTCAGAGAAGTCTCTTTGATAAACCCATGATTAATCATAATGAAAGTCCAAAGCCTTTTTGGTTTGTTTTGAGGAGCTTTAAAATCCAAAGCTTAATGTACATTTTTCAGCAAAGCTTGGCACAATCGTACATGAAACTTCGGACTTACACACTGTGACACGCACATACACACTTGACTTAGACTTTACATGATAAACAAATGCATTTACACAAATGCCGGGGTCAACAGTCCTGGGCTTAGCAACGAGATGTAGCCACCAATCACTCTTGTGCGTCTTGATTCTTCTCTCCCATTCTCCAAAATAAAAAAACAAAGAAGTAGCAGAGAGAACGAACCCACATTGAATCTTTTGCGTTATCTTGTGTACAGGAGCAAGTATGTATCATCTAATGTTTCAAATTGTCCCGTTTCAACCATCTGGTTCAATGACACGTGTGTCAGGAAACATCAATTTTCAGGGTAATGAATTTGAGATTCTTTACCTCGAAACCAGTCTTCTGGTATAGTTCCTGAGCAACTGAATTGTTTCTATGTACATGAACATATACTTGTTCAACTCCTGCACAACCAATACATCCACAAATGGATTAGATCCTTCTCTCCAAGATGTTCGACTTATTGAACGGCTTAAGATACAATCATTACAAAGACAGCCTTTTTTTTTCTTTTTCGTTAACATTATTATTATTACCACTCAATCTGGCTGATTCGACAGCGAAACGTAACATGTTGCAAGCAATGCCCTGGCGGCGTGCTGATTTCGCAACACATAGATTAGCAATATAACCATACCTACTTGATCCTTCCCGGTTTATGCTGCAGAACAATTGAGACTTTACCTTTTCCTGCACGTAGTGTAACTTATTAAGGGAAGGCTTTTCATGATACAGCCAAGGCAAGAAACTGAATCCCAAACCAAAAGAAATATACCCCAGGAAAGGTCTCTCCCTGCAAGAAAAACCGAATGCTCAAATCAAGCGTCCCAACCACACTTTTGATCACTGAACGTTTAATGTGCCTCTCTTCCTTCTTCACCTGATGAATGCAGCAACAATAGCTGATAAATGCAAACTCTTGAGAAGTGCAAACAGTACAATCCCAAAAATCAAATAAACAAGCAAAGTGTATATGCAACATAGAAAGCTAGACAATAATGCGAAGGGTATATATTTATACCGCAACGATACAGGAGCATTTCTGCCCTATGCACCTTCTCTTTATGGCATTGAACTCCTGAAACAATAACTGATTAAAGAAAGTTTCCTCTAATTAAGGAAAGACATAAAAGAAGAATAATTTGATATTAAGTGCTACCTGCTCTGCAAATTTCCTTTTGAAGTTATCAACATATCTGTGTTTATAAAGGACAGTTTTAATCAGACCAACATCCGTCGCTCAATCTGAGCTAGTTATAAACAACTACTTGATACTTGCTAGTTGCTACAAGAACGTTCAATCCTAAAAGCCAGGCTTGTTTGCTATGAATCAGAAAAATCCGTAGACTCGCTTTGTAATAATGAAATGGCACCAAAAGATGGAGATCCTTTGTCTTGGCTTACCTTTCATTGCCACGATCTTCCCAATGACTTTCTGCACGTAGCCAAGCTGCTGTCTATCACAAACTCGAAGCAGCAACATAAAGAAGAAGAAAATCAATCAATGAATCTCAAGAGGAAAAGAATCAAGAAGTGACTGCTCGGGAATAGTTACCCAGTATTCTTCGTCAAGCATGGCCTCTCTTGCTACGAATCTACCAAATTCCAATCTATCTTGGTGAACAGACTCCGGCTCGGGAGGCTGCAAGCGGTCGAATCTCAAACCATCAGGTCTTAGCTGATCAACTTGAGGAATCGCAGACGATTTTGAAATCTGTACAGATAAGTCTTCCTTCTTAGACGTATCAGAAGATCTGGAATTGATCGTCCTGTGTTGTTGGGTGTTCAATTAATCACTAAGACTTGTGGAAT